AAAAAGAGCTCAAAGCCCCAGAGCCAATAAATCTAAGCAATCAAGAGATAGCTAACCTTTAAGATGCACAGTTCAAAACACTGGTGATCAGGATGCTCACAGAACTGGTTGATTTCAGCCACAAATTAGAGGAAGAAATGAAGGCTAAATTAATTGAAATGAAGGGAGATGCACAGGAAACCAATAGTGATGGAAAGGAAACTGGGACTCAAATCGAGGGAGTGGACCAGAAGGAGGAAAGAAACAACCGAACAGAAAAGAATGAAGAAACAAGAATTCAAAAAAATGAGGAGAGGCTTAGGAACCTCCAGGACATCTTTAAACGCTCCAACATCCAAATTATAGGGGTACCAGAAGGGGAAGAGGAACAGCAACAGGTGGAAAACTTATTTGAACAAATAATAAAGGAGAACATCCCCAATCTGGCAAAGGAAATAGACTTCCAGGAAATCCAGGAAGCTCAGAGAGTCCCAAAGAAGTTGGACCCAAGGAAGAACACACCAAGGCACATCATAATTATATTAGCCAAGATTAAAATGAAGGAGACAATCCTAGAAGCAGCAAGAGATAAGGGGACAGTCACCTACAAAAAAGTTCCCATCAGACTGTCAGCTGATTTCTCAAGAGACCTTACAGGCAAGAAGGGTCTGGAAAGAAGTATTCCAAATCATGAACTCCAAAGACTTACATCCAAGATTGCTCTGTCCAGCAAAGCTTTCATTTCGAATGGAAGGGCAGATAAAGTGCTTCTCAGATAAGGTCAAGTTCAAAGAGTTCATCATAACCAAGCCCTTATTATATGGAATGTTAAAGGGATTTATCTAAGAAAAAGAAGATTAAAAAGATTAACAGTGAAAGGACAGCAAACTCACAGTTATCATCAACCACAACTAAAACAAAAGCAAACTAAGAGGACAGCTAGATCAGGAGCAAAACCATAGAAATGAAGATAACATGGAAGGTTAGCAACAGGGGAGTGGGAGAAGGAGAAGGGGGGAGAAGGTACAGAAAATAAGTAGCATAGATGGTAGGTAGAAAATAGATAGGGGGAGGGCAAGAATAGTAGGGGAAATATAGAATCTAAAGAACTTGAGACACGTGGTCATAAACTAAAGGGGGGGAATGGTGGGGGAAGGGGTGTGCAGGGTGGAGGGGAATGAAGGGAGGAAATAGAACAACTGTAATGGCATAATTAATAAAATATATTTTTAAAAAAATGCAGACCCTACACCAGCAAAAATTGCAGCATGATTTATGCTGTGCTCTGAACAGCATTTTATTTATTTATTTAATTTTTTAGACTTTTTTTTTTTTTTTTTACTTTTTTAGAGAGAGGAAGGGAAGGAGGGAAATATCAATGTATGGTTGCCTCTCGTGAGTCCCCTGCTGGGAACTGGCCTGCAACCCAGGCATGTGCCCTGACTGGGAATCGAACCGCGATCATGTGGTTCACAGGCCCGCGCTCAATCCACTGAGCTACACCAGCCAGGGCTGAACAGCATTTTTATAAAGTGAGGCCCAGTCATGCGGCATAGGGGCCTGGGCACTGGAGGGTGAAAGGCGAACTGGCACCATCAGGAGATTCTTGGGGGCTGGGGAAGCAAAGGACAGTCTTTGGGGAGGTGGACGGAAGAGCAGAGGGAATGAGTCTGAGTGGCAGACAGCGGGACAAATGGGAGCAGTGGTAATGGGTGTAAAATACCACCTGAATTATGACTTCCCTTTTCCAACTTACAACATAGCCAATGGCATTTTGTGGGGAAGGACACTTCCCCAAAGGGGGAGGCAGGGAGGGCAAGGTTTGGAAGCAGGAACCTGTAACATTTCTGCATCCCACAGAGAGTCACATGCTGTGCCCACACCCCCCTTAATGGGCAGCCAGCCTGTGACTCACATCGGAAGTGGTGAGGCAGCAGCCCTCAGCCCAAACGGGAAGGGGGGGGACGCTCAGAGCAGAGTTGGTGTGAACAAGAGGGCCAGTGGTCAGCTTCACTCTTTATCACTCTGTTACTGATCTGAGAACTCAGGCTGTAACTCAAAAGCAAGCAGCCCGCAGGCAGGCGAGGCCCCAGGCCTGGAAAGCCACTGCGTGGTCTTGATGAAAGGGGTTGGGCGGCCTGCTCCTCCATCAACCTGGCCCTGCACCTTGGCCACCAGCGAGAGCTACCTCAGGATCTCATGAAAACAGGGATGCCCAAACCCCGACGTGGAGATCTGCATTCCATGGGTCTGGAGAGGGGCCTGTGCACCAGCACCTTGAACTTATGCTGCAGGTGATTCTGATGCTGCCAGTTAACTGTGCAGAGCTGGGTCTCAGTTGCCTGCCTGTGAGAATGACCCGAAGGGCTGTAAAAAGTCCAGATGCCCAGGCCACATAGCTGACCAGTTAAAATCAGACGGAGACCCTGGCTGGTGTGGCTCACTGGAATGAGTGCTGGCCTGAGAACCAAAAGGTTGCCAGTTCGAATCCCAGTCAGGGAGCATGGGTTGCAGGCCAGGTCCTCAGTAGGGGATGTGCGAGAGACAACTAACTAATCAATGTACTTATACATCAGTGTTTCTCTCCCTCTCTCATACATCAATGTTTCTCTCCCTCTCTCCCTCCCTTCCCCTCTCTCTAAAAATAAATAAAATCAGAAACTCTAGGACATTCCCACTCCCACTGCCCCTTGGATCCCCGCCAGCCTGCTGCTCCAAGAGCTCACAGGCGAGGGTCCACCTCACCTCTGGCCTTTCACTCTCTCCTGCCCTCCCAGCCCCTCTGCCCAAGCACACAGCTCCTTGAGCTTCCTCACTGCACACCTCCCTCCTCGCGTCCGTCAAAGCCCCCTCCTCTCTAGGTCCAGGTCAAGTCCCAGCTGTCCAAGGAGAATGCCAGAATATACAGTGGCCTTGGCCTTGTCTGGGAGTTCTCCGAGCCCTCACCTGGGAACACACACTTCAGTCCCTGCTTGCAGGCTCCCTTCTAGTAGGACCCGACACCTTCAAGTCTCAACCAGAGGAGGGACATGCCTGATACTCCTGCATTCCTCCAGCAGCCCCCGAAAGGCTCCACTCAATCCCATCCACAGTCTATGCAGGGAGTGTGGCACTGGGCAGGATGGGGTCGGGGGACTGAAATGAAAACCACCACCTGTGGCTCAGTCTCCCAGGACAGGCCACGAAGCAGGGAGCTGTCACAACCACTGGGACCGCAGATGTCAGAGAATCACATGTCAGCATTACAAGGGGCCTTACTGCTTATCTAGTCTTACTCCACATCCGCCCCTCATACACACACAGCGCAGAAATCCCCTCTGTAGCATCGCTCTCTGTTCTCTGCATCACAAGGCAGCCTCTTCTACACCTCTTCCGTCGCAGCCTTGGCCTTTCCCCACTCTGCCCAGTACAGTGAGTCATGGGCCTGCCTGCCTTTCCTGCTAGACTCTGAGGGCCTTTTGGGCAGGGACTGATTCTAGCTGGAACCTCACACTGTGCCTGACACCCTACAGGGGCTCGGAGAATGTGTTTAATTAACTGGACTTGCTGGGCTTGGATAACTGGACCAAATGGAGGCTGAGAGCACAGGATTTCAACAGGCTGAGCCAGGACAGGCAGAAAGCAGGACTAGGGATCCACTCAGACTTTCCTGGGGCAAAGGTTAGGGGAGGATGCGTGCACAGGAACCCGTCTTTGACCACACACAGAGGATGAGGTGGCAGCGGGGTCTTGCTGATAGGCCTACCTTTAAGGCAATCAATGCTTGGAGGCTGTCGAAATGACAAAAGCCCCTGGTGGATATCTTTGCTCCCTGATTCCATTGATCCCTGACAGGTTCCTTCACCGCCCAGTCCCCATTTGTCCCTGGTTGTGAAATAAAACAGTCCCTACACCTCTCCCTCAGAGGGAGGAGTGAGTATCAGCACTGGAAACGACACCCGATCCTCCCAGTCTGGGATGGGAAGCATTCAGGGAAGCCGGGTCCACAGGCTTTGTTCAAAGGCTCCTCAGCCAGTTCTCTCACCAGCCAGGACCCCTATCCTTCCCTCTGCTCCACCTTCACCTCCCTCTCAGAATCCTACCCCAGGCAGCCAGTCAGACCCTTCGCTGGGGTCTTGCTGAATTTGCAAGATAATAAACTGGAATTCAAATGCTTGGCCTGCTCCTCCAGCCCCTGCCCCAACCACTCTGGCCCACTTATCTACAGTCACACCACAGTCCTTAGGGACAGGTATCCTCAAATCTGAATGTACTTCCTGGCTGGCCGAGGGCCTTCAGGAGTCCAGCCAGCCCTCACCTGCCCACCTAGGGGAGTCCCGGCCAGCCACTGCCCAGCCTACTCTCACCTTTTCTGCTGCAGCTCTGCTTCCTCTTCTGCTTTGCAGGCTCTAATTCCTCAAATCTTGCCCCACCCAAGCCTCTCACTTCCTTCTGACTCCTCTATTGCTACTCCACCCCTGCCCCACCTCTGCCCCACCCCTGCTCCAACCCCTGCTCCAACCCCAGCTCGAGCTGAGCCGGGGCTGGTTCTAGAGAAGCACCCACAGCGAGGCTGAACATCCGCCCCAGCCCTGGTCAGGACGTCCCCAGAGGCTTTAGCCAGTTGCCAGCCCCTCCTCCAGGGTCAGCACCTCTGAATCTGTGACCAGTGAGAAGAGCCACACACAAACAGGAAAGCCACCTGTTCCCTGTTCCCCACTCACCAGCCTCAGGCAGGCCCAGTCTGCCCAGAGCCAGCCTCTGCTGGGTCAGTCACTTTTTTGGGTGGCGTTACTGCCTCTGCAGTTACTTTTTCCTCCTCCCTGACTTGTCTTTTTCCTTGCTCTGAATGCATTTTTTTAATTTTAATTAATTTTTAGAGAGAGAGAGAGAAACATCTTTCCATTGCTCCACTGATTTATGCATTCATTGCTTCTTGCGTGTGCCCTGACCAGGGATCAAACCCCTAAGCTTGCTGTATTGGGACGAGGCTCTAACTAACTGAGCTATAAGGCCAGGGCTAAATATTTTTTTTCTTTTCACGCCAGAGAGGTAACATGCTGATGCCATCACAAGGTCTGAGGGAGGCACATCCCACACAAGAGCATGCACACCCACCCAATCATCACTCTACGAACTACATAAGAATCCTGAATGCATTTAATGTTTTTTTTAAAGCTCAGCCCCAAGGCCCTCGGAATATTCTTTACTGATTCTATACTGTGTCCTGCATGCTGGAGGCCTTTCATGTCTACTCTCGGTCAGTCTGTCATTCATTCATTCACCACCTGTTCACTGTCTGTCGCACAGTCTCCACACCAGGCCCTCTAAGGCACAGCCATAACAGTAAGTGTGGTTCTGGCTTCACCCAGGGACAAGCAGCTTGCCTACATCACATCCATAGGACCCTAGAGTGGGCTGGTCCAACACCCTTGCTCGTTTTCCAGAGAAAGAAACTGAGGCCCTGAGAACACAAGTGAGTTGCCCACAGTCACATAGGGAGCAGGAGGCAGAGCGAGGGAAGCTTCCATTCCATTCTGAATCCAGGCGGAAGCGGAAGGGGAGCTCAAGTGAGCTCCAGGAGAAAGTGAACACCCAGCTACCCAGGGACTCAGCCAGGCCTGCCCTGGCCCAGGGCTGGTCAGCAGGATAGCCAGAGACAAGGCTCAGCCTTCAGCAAGGCCCCACCCAGGAGGAGATAGTGTGGGCAGTGGAACTAAATCAATCCGTGTGTTAAAATTTCTGGACCAGAGCAAGATGAGCAGTTAAATGTTCTCTTCAAAGAAACACAACCTCTAGCTGGTAGCTGCGTGTCTGAGCAGCTCCCGCGGCAAACTGCTGGCTTTAAAAATAGGGTAATCTAGGTAGGAACTCTAGCAGGGCCTCATCCCCAGGAGAACCAGAGGCTGGGCAGATAAACTGGTGCAGCGGAAAGAGGTGGACAGTTTGGCTACTTACTGGCTGTGCTTCCTGGGGCAATAACTTTCTGGAGCCTCCGTGTGCCCTATCTGTAAAATAAGAATGACGATAAATGTGAAGATTATGAGATGGTATAATTAATGAGCAAATAATAGATGCTTAATAAACCTGGACTTTTTTCTCTTGTCAACACTGAGAATTTACCAAGGGGACCTCAGTAAATGGGCACAGCATCTTGGGAAGCAAGGCCCCTGGCGCCCCCTCCAGCGCAGAGAGATGGATATAAACTACAGATCGTCCCTCCTCGCCTCTGCCCCCCACTCCCACCACAGCACCTCAGTCCACTCTCCTCTGCACCCGCACAGAACCCGGGTGGCTCTTAGTTCCGGCCTCTGTGTGCCCGCCTGGGGCACAAGGATGAGGACTCACTGTTCTCTACACTGACGCCTTACCTGGGTAAAGATGACCCCCTCCACCACCACCACAGGGGGAGGGAAGAGGTTTGCAAATTAAGAGAGAAAGGAGTAGATCTACCACACTCGAAGAAGGTACAAGATTCTAAAACTTGTTTCTCCTAGACTCACATTTTTCCTCCCTGTCCGGTCTGCCCCAGCAGGAATGCTCCGTTTGTCCCAAGCGAAGTAAAATAAAAGCTTTCTTTAGCAAGGACCCGCCCTCTCCCGCCCCTCCTTACGGGAAGCCAGGAGACATTCGTCACGCGGGGGAGCCCCAAAAAAGAGAGGGGGAGCGGGGCGCCCAAGGAGGCGGCCCCGAGGCAGCCAAACGCCGCTGAGCTGCGAAGGGGGGCCCCGGGAGCCCCAGCGCCCTAGCGGTCAGACCCTAAACGCAGCAGACCCGCTGGCCCTTCCGCGCCTGTGGTCCGGGACCCGAGTTAATGCGGGCGGTGAGTCAGAGGGCGGCGCCGGCCGCCTAAGCCACCTGGGGGCGCTGCTGAAAACTGGCCAGCCATTGTCTGCACAGTCCCTCCAATGGTCCCTCCCGGGACACTGGTGCAGAAACACCTACGATTGGGGCAGGTACTGAGAAAGCTGAGACAGCGATGCTGTGCGGAAAATGGCCTGAGACGGTTCTCCCTGGATCACAGCGAGGGTCACAATCCAGTCAGTCGGTGGAGCCTTGGCTCCGATCAAGTTATGACAGTTACTGTTCCTTGAGTGCCTACCCTGTGCTTTCTGCTTTAAACGTGATTTCCGCTGGTCCTCACACCCACCATCATTCCGCCTAAGAAATGAAGATTCGGGGAGGCTCAGAGAAGGTGGATGTCGATGTAAGAAACGTCCAAGCTTGTAGGAGGCTCAGAGTTGTAAATGTCAATGTAAGAAAAGTCCAAACTTGTAGAGAATTTTTATGAGTTTATTTGAGCCAAATTGACAATTTCTGGAAAGCAAAATCTCAACAAACTGGGCAAATAATCTAGAAAAGGGCAGTTTTAGGGCTTATTTTATACGTTGGAATCAAAGGAAGAGATTAAGGGGAGTTACATGAAAGTTATCGGTGGTAGATTAGGGAGAAAGCAAAGCAGGGGAATCTCTCAGATTGGGTGAGAGTAAAACAGAGACATGCACTGTGAGGGTGGTCAGTGACCGGGCTGGGAAAGAATCCAGGAAGAGAAGAAAGTGTAGCAGGGGCGTCCAGCCTTTTGGCATCTCTGAGCCACACTGGAAGAAAAGTTGTCTTGGGCCACACATTAAATACACTGAGACACATAATCACAAAAAATCTCGTAATGTTTTAAGTAAATTTACGATTTTGTGTTGGGCCACATTCAGGGCCATTCTGAGCTGTATGTCACCCGCTGGCTGCGGGCTCGACACCACTGGGTAGAGAGAAAAGATTTTATTCCCTCTCCAAGAAAGGAGAGGGGCATGGTGTAGAGAGACACACTAGCATTGAGGGGTGTGGCTTTGGACCTTTATTGGATTATAATTGGATAAAAAAGGGTAGGGGGCTGCTGACGTGTGGCCCCTGGGCTGTTGGGGTGTTGTAACGGAGGCTGCAGTCTGTCCCCACGTTATCTTCCGCCTGCGGCTGTGGGGAGCGGTTAGTCACGTCTGTTCTTGCCTTCAAGCTCAAAAGAGTAAAATGGCAGTTGTGTTTAACAGGTCAAAGCCCTGCTGGGCAAATCGCTGACTTTTTGTCCTTTCACATACTTCTCTTCCATTGGCGGGTACAGGGTAGTTAACATTTACAGCACATAGAGATGTTTGGGGGAACAAGACAACACGGAGGGGTTCTGTGGTCTCCGGCTCTGGTGGCAGGTGTGCCCTGAGGGGTCTGGAGATGCTCTGACATTTCAAAGGAATGTTAACTTTGATGCAAAGAGACAACAGACAGGCTCACTTAAGGTGAAGATTGACGTTTGTCAAGGAAGCCGCAGGCCCAGGACGTCACTACCAGCTATGACCTTCTTTTAGTTAGGAATTTTTATGTTCACATCATGCTGTGTGGTTACTTTTGGTCTCTGAGAATGTAAGGCCTGCCGTGAGGGCCGACCCTGAGTTTATCAGGTTTAGCGTGTGCCCCTTTTTTGTCCACACTTCCCCTTTGGGTCATAAATCAATCCAAAGATGCATTAGTGACCTTGATTGGATAATGTGGTCCCAGTGTCCCTTGGATGTCTTAGTGTCAGCATTTGTCTTGCTGAAGTGGTGAACCCTCGGGGATGGGGCAAGACCGTAACCTTGGGTAGAAGTCCAGGCTGAATTTCCCTCCAGACGGAAAGGCAGCGTTGAAGAAAAGGGGCCACATGTTACCCTGACAAGCTCAGGGGAGGCCTGTGAGCCGGCCTTACCAACTCAGGGACCTGACGTAACCACAGACGGTGGTCTGAAATGGAATTTCATTAACTGAAAGCAGTTCATGGCAGGAAAAATGCATGTCCTGGGCCAGTACTTCTCCCTAACAAAGGCCAGTCTTTACCTTAACTAAGCCTGTCTATGTCTTTCTGCATCTATGATAACAGACCTTTGGGATGTCAAGGTCACTTCCCTTTTCCCAAACTCCTGGGGCACAAGCTGAGACCACAACCCCCCTCATTGTTATTGTTGTCATGTTGATTGTTAACTGTTAACTATCCCTTACCCAAACATGTAGAAGAAGTATGTGTCTATCATTATACCTTTTATCCAATCCCAGAGGTTTCCCCACTTTGCTTTCTCCTGCCTCCGCTGATTTATCACAGTGGACTTCGAGTAACACCCTATGGCTCCTCCTTTGATTCCAGTGTATAAAATAAGGTGCTAAACTGCCATTCTCTGGAGCATTTCTCAATCCATTGAGGTATTGCTTCCTGGCAATTGTTATCGATTTGGCTCAAATAAACTGACCAAATATTTTCTGCAGGTGTGAATGTTTCTTATGTTGCCAGCAGGTAAATGGGTGGCAGTCGGGTCACATGGGCCTTCACTAAGAAACAAAACACTTGTTCCAGCTGATGCGGCTCATTGGGTTGAGTGCTGGTCCCTGGTTGGGGGCATGTGAGAGGCAACTGATGTGTTTCTCTCCTTCCCTTTCTCCCTCCCTTCCCTTCTTTCTAGAAATGAATGAATAAAAAGTTGAAAAAGAAAGAAATGAAAAAGAACGACTCTCTCTGGCTGGTGTGGCTGGGTTGGGTGCCACTGTGTGTATACTGAAAGTTCACAGGTTTGATTCCTGGTCAGGGCATATACCCAGATTGTGGATTCAGTCCCTGGTCTGGGTGCATAAGGGAGGCAGCGGATCAATGTTTCTACCTCATATTGATCTCTCTCTCTCTCTCTCTCTCTCTCTCTCTCTCAAATCAGTGATTTTATCCTCGAGTGAGGATTTTAAGAAAAAGAAAAGAAAACAAAAAAGTAACGCTGGATCATTTCTAACCTACAGGCTATCACGATGCATGTTCCGCTATTTAGAATAAAATTTACATGCAGTGGAGGGCACACCATACACCCTCCGGTTTCACAATCTGACCATGAGATGGGTTCTCATTCATTGGTATGATTATTGTTATTTTAGTGTGGCCTATCTACTTCCCATTGGAAGCACTGAAGTGTTGATCATTATTAATCTGATTTCTGCTACTTGTGCAATTGGCAACTGTAACTTTAAGGCTTTAATCAGCCTAAAGCCGTAAGAACACAACAGTGTAAATGACAATTACCACCTAAAAATGCCCAGAGGCCCGGAGGATGGTAAGAGTGTTGTAAGTAGATTTCCTGTGCCTCGGCAGCC